TCTTTTCACACAGATCCTTCACAGAAACCCCGTTGTGTTTGTCTGACGTCCTGTTTGTCCAGAGTAGCTCACAAACCCATCACTACTGTGGCTCTTGATGTTGTTGTTGCTTCATCAGCCACCAAGTTAGTCAAATCATCTCAGAGACGTTATTCAGATTAGATTATATCTCAGACATGAGTCTTTTCAGCTCTTTAGAGGCCCACGTTTATTTTGTGCTGCTGTACCGTCATCGTCAAATCTCACTTGAACAAGATACAGATTAACACTGAACCTAAATGAGGTGGAATGCTCCCCAGAGAATGAAGAATAGGGTGTAGGGTGTGAAAGCAGCCCTCAGGCTGGCTCCTCCCACAACCATTTCCTAATCAGTGCCAGCATTTGGCAGCCACCGTTTGGCATGAACGTATCCCTTTTTGGCCCCTGTCCTGTTCCTGTGGCTGCTTGTAGTGTTTTTCGTATTAAAGAAACCAAAGATAATACTTTAATGATCCCAGTGGGGGAAATTCACAAGTGATCTAGCAGAATGTTAAGCAGTTATAAAGTAATTAAAATGATTACAAATTAAACACATTAATGCATCAATAATTATAATCCAATAATGTAATAAATGGTACTCTGCAATATACCATTCACGTACCAATCATGCATGACTTCATAAATTTCACTTTTTAGTTATTTATGTTGCTAATACTTTTGCACTTTTCTTTTCTATTCAGGACATATTATACACCTCCAGAGTCATGTAAGGACAGGAAACAATTGCAGGCCTGTTAGCAAACTCCCATGTGCACCTGTGCAACTTGTACGCCCCTTTTTTTGTTTACATTCTCTGCTCCAATCAGCGCTGGGTTTTAGCGCATGCGCGAGATTTCAAATCGTCCAATCAGAGAAGAGGAAACGTTCACTCCCGGCAATTTCAAAACCGGATGCGCGAGCTCAGTTGTTATGACGCTAATGTTACTTTAACTTGTCCTTAAACCACCAAAACAACAACTCAAACGAGCCATTTGTAATAAATTGATTTGGTCAAGAAGAAGAAACTGAAGTTTGATAGACATGGAAGAAGAAGAAGAGACCGTATCGATACTTTCCAGAAAAGGTTAGCGAGTGAATGAAAGCTAAATAAGTTCGTTAACGTTAGCTAGCTAGCTAGCTATGAGCTAACGCTAGCTATCAGTTAACTAGCTAGCGAACGTTACGTCTAAATAAATGTAACTGTACTGTCTAAGAATATTGACATAAGCTAGCAGTAACGTTATTGGCTTCTTCTAATGCTGCACCTTTATAATGTTACAAACAATGATGCAGTCTTTTCATTGGTCCCTTTAATCACGTGACTTTGTGAATATGCATTACAGGTATGGGTGGTTCACTATAGTAGAAAACAAGCTCTGCCAGGTATGGATTTATGCCTAAAATAAAGGGAGCATTTAAAAATAATTTCACATCTAGAAAAAACAATTGAGTAGGCTTCTCACCCAAGTAAATAACAGCGCTGGATCAGAGTTATATTTAGTGTTTATTGGAGAAAGTATATGTTAAATTACATGTATGCAACACGACTGCAAAAAGTTATTTATGCATCATAGCTCATTCTGCCTATTATTGTTATTTATTAATAGTTTTTATTAAATAACAAAATCACATTTAAAATAAATAAATCATATCCTCTCTCTATTAAGTCCTCTCTAAATGCCAGATACATGTCTCACCAATCCACAGCCAGATGGCAGCACGTGTCTACACGGTTATTCACATACTTGAAAAGAATCATCTCTATTCTGTTCATCACAGTTTCATCACAAGCTTTACTTGCTTTTTTCTGTCCATTGCATCCAATAAGAGGAACTGATCTGTAGTTCAGTGTGCTCGCTGTAATAAACATACTGTATTTGTTTATATTGTGAATGTTTGATTTGTTCGTGAGTTAACCTAAAGAGAGCTCCCAAAACTTGTAGTAGATTTCTGTATCTGCAATGAATGTGTACGCAGATACATTGATGATGCGCTACAGCATGTGGCTGGATAGTAGTTAATTATTTTCAAACCCTAAGCATGAAAGTATAATGGAAAGTGACCTGTGCTGAATTCCTGTGTGATTATCTGTCGCAGAGCTGCGTAAGCAGAAGCTGATGGAATACTTGGCAGGAAAAGGAAAGTTGAAACACCCCAACCCAAAGTAAGAAAAACAACTGCACAACAATGCATCCATCAAATGCTGTTGTTAATGACACCTAATAAATAATCTCAATTTGACTCCTCAGACCATACCTATGTGACAACAGTCAGGTTAAGAAGCTTCTGACAACTTCACTAAAGGTGGGTGTGCCTTGTGAACAGGTGTATGTTCGTGTGTGTGAGAGTGTATATTTAGCTCGTCAGATCTCACACCAAATAGTTTTTATCTTACTTGTTTTTTTTCTGTTTATGTTTTTGTTATTACAGGTTGTTGAGGGAAAAGAGAACAAGGCTCCAGCTGACAGATTCACACATGAACGTGCAAAAATTAAAACTCTGGCTGCTCAATCAACCAAACCCCCTGCTGCCAGAGGAGCATTTGGTCACTCAAACAAAGTGAATGTAAAAGCCAACATTCTGACTGGACGGCAGAATACCAGTCGTCCATCTGCAACCAGTGGCCCGGCACAGCCAAAACTTAATCTACACCCTGTGCTGACAAGAAGAGCTGCGGTTGTATCCTCAATATCCAACACTAATGCAGCAAGCCATCTCAAAAAGCAACCAAACACAGGAATCCCATCTTCAGGCAGAGCCTCTTCAAATGCATCTCGTACAGGTGTAACACAGTCACACAGCAGATTCAGCAGTAGCTCAAAGGCCACCTGGTCATGTCCAGTGACGACAGTCAGTGTCAGGATGAGTCTCGGCCCCATGGTCAAAACTAAAACGGGACTAACTCCTGCAGTGACCCATCCCAGAAACAGTCAAAGTCAGAACGTAACACACACCTCTGATCCCACCACCCCTGCCGCTACCACTGGAGCTAAACAGGTGCAATCCAGCACCGTGTCATCAGTTTCTGTTTCCCAGAAGTCGGCCATGGGTCAGAGGAAACCATTACCTACCAACCACGAGAGACCAAGAGCTGTGATTAAAGTTCAAAATCAGAGCAAGTCTAACTCTAAACCACTTTTGAGTAAAAATTCTCAGCCATCTTCTAAGGTTCCATTATCAAGTGGACTGAAATCCACAGCAGCACCTTTTAAGCCACAGGGCAGAGCAGCTGGTCAGCCCACAGACCGGCTCACAAAGCAGACAGCTGAAGGTGTGGGGCAGAAGAATGGCCAACCGCGCAAAGTTGCCTCCCAAACATCCTCTGGGCCGGCGAGCAGGTGTGCTTCCAGAGCGGTCAGCGGGGTTATGCGAGCTGCTGTGGCCGAGCTGGGAGGGAAAACCAAGACACGCGAAGAGGCGGGTGGCAAAAAGGGACGCGCTTCAGCAAACGCCCCTCCACCACAAACGGGTACAAAGAGAACAAGTGCTCCGGTGACGTCCCAGACAGTGCCACGGTCGGGCAGGACCATCAGCCACACCGGGCAGGCCACAGACACGAAGACACCCAAGGTCCCAGTCGGGGTGTTTCCCCAGACTGAGGGAAAGAAAGTGACCGCTGCCCAGGAGGAAAGAATGTAAGTAGAAGAGCTGCAACACCTCAGATCTGTCTGTATGTGACTCACAAAGAGAGTTACCTTTAGGGCTGGGTGATAATTCAATATTCCTATTTTATTGATTTTAATATTTGATTTCTGAGCAAGCGATCATTAGGAATGGTGCCGCCCTTGTTGGCATATTGTATTTGGGTTGCGTTTGGTAACTGGTGATGACTGAAGCCATTCTGCTGGAGCAATACTAGAGTATTCTCTCACTGATGAGTTCAGCTTATACACTATATAACACGGGGCATTGTTAGACTTTCACTATATCTGTACCTGCGTTTTTGTAACCAAAACAATGATTTTTTTAGGTTAAAATATAGGTTATGATTTAGAGCAAGAACCTTCTCGTCAAAGAAGAAGGAATCTGACCGAGCATTCAATGCCAAGTTTCGATGGTTGGCGTTTTTTGATAAAAGAAAGGGTGAAGACTGAGTGAAATATTCCTAGAACAAATCGCTTTGTCTGATTCGATCGCTGTGAACAAACTGCCGTCATGGTTCAAAGCCAACCTGATTGACAGTGATTACATCTGTGTGGGTGGACAGGGACTGGTTTACACCCAGGCCAGCAGCGCTGTAATAGGATAGGCTGGCTGTCAAACATACCTCAATTAGATGGCTTTATTTAGCAATGCAGTGAACATGTTCTGTGTATTTACAGAACGTGAATCTCGTCTCACACTTCTATGTCATTTTGTTTGTTAAATAAATAGTTAGACACGAGACAAAGACTCAGACTCAGAGGTCTGAAGTGCCAGCAAAAAGATGGTTTTCCTAAAAGGTTGGTCTGTCAGGAGTTGTTTGTCCAGAGTCAAATGTTAAAGGTATCAACCCCAGTTTGTCCTGGGACCTCAGTCATTCCACTTCCTCTACCCTTTGTGTCTCTCTGCTGTGCTTTTAATGGAGCCCTCTGCTCTATTGTTTGGTGTCAAGGAGAAAACTACAGGAGTGGCGGGAGGCCAAGGGTATTTCCTACAAGCGTCCCCCAATGCCGGTGCAACCTCAGGTCCGGCGTACTGTGGCCGTGCTCCAGCCTTTCTGGGGAGCCATGAACGAGGAAGACGAGGCCCACTCCCTCATCTGTGCCGTGGACCGGTCCCTGGCTGACTGCATCAAATTGCTGGGAGAGGTACATGCTGTTGAGGGAGGAATCTCTGGTTTCCTTGGCCTTTTTATTCAGAAGTTACTGGAAGTTATGTGGCGGACATTGTCTGATGGGATCTGTTATAAGGCAGCTGAAATGTGAGAATCGTTGACATTTGCACACTTTTACACAAGTTTGTGTAGATAATGAAAACCAAGAGCTTCTGCTTGATGTTAACACACAACCAGCTCGTTGGTTGAAGCACAATGATGCTGTTTCTCTCCCTGTGTGAGTTGTGACTCGAGCCTTCCTCGCTCCCCCAGGGTTGCCCTCCAGACCAGGTGAGGGGGGTTCTCTCCCGGCTGCCAGCGGTGTCCAAGAAGTTTGCCAAATACTGGATCTGTCAGGCCCGCCTGATGGAACGAGAGGGCCGCCTGGATGTGCTGCCCATGTTTGAAGAGGCTGTTGGGGTCGTGCTGGAGGTGAGTCATCCATGTTTTTCACACGGTATGAAAAAATACGTGGCTGTTAACAATCATCAGCCATATTTCATCCCTCCCTCTTATCACAATCAGTGCTTCAGACAGTATTGCGTTTCCATATCCGTTAGTGGCATGAGAATCATCACTTAATCACGCAGTTGGGTTGTTTTGTCTAGAACCGTTTCTCATTATAATTTCCTGAAACTGAAACTGTGATGTTTGGAAATATGAAGATGGAGGTTTGTCAGCTGACAGTCAACCACAGAGCGGTTAACAGTTGATGCAGTATCACAGATGCAGTATTTTGGTACTGCGTATATGCCAGATGATGAGTAAAAAGGAATTTAATTTCAGAAAT